CCGCCCTATGAAAGGGGAAATCAAATTTGATATGTGGATGGGTCCATTCAAGAGGGTTTTGGGTAAATGTGCTGGTGTTATTAGATATTACAAGGCAGATTGGATTCTTAGGTTTAATGCTTGTGTCCAAACACTTTCAGTGACCTTAACTGAATTAATTGGGACTGTGTATGGATTACAATTGTGTTGGAGTAGGGGTTTTTGCAGAGTTAATGTTTTCACTGATAGCACCAAAGCTATCAACTTGATCTATCGCAACAATGTTGATCAACATCCATTTCAAGATATCACCGAGCAGGCTAGAGCATTGTTTCTGAGAGAGTGACATGTCACGATTAACTTCATATTCGAAGAAGCCAATTTTTATGCTAATTACTTAGCTAGAAATGCTTCTTTTTGTTTTGATGGTTGGTATACCTTTGATCCCCCATCCTTTTATTACAATAAGGTGGTGGATGAAAAAATGAATTCCTCTTTAATTTCTACTTAATTAGAACTTTGGTGCTCTTGTTAACACTTGTTATTCAAAAAAGAAAAAAATCAAGGAGATGCAAACTGGGATATTACTGTGGAAATGCAGAAAAGAAAACGCGAGGGTACGTGAGGGAATAGCAGGCGCGCTGAGTATGTACGGTACACTTCCACCACATTCACAGCTGTAAGCATCCATGATTAGATCTTTCAATCCATGCAATTCTGGGCTGCTTCCGGCCCAACTCATCCTTGCCTCTCTAGTCTCTACTTCCGCTTATTTAATGTTTACTCCATGTTTATATTCTTTCTGAGTTCTGCTGCTTTGTTAGGCTAATCAAAAACAAAAGTCAGAAAAAGAACAAAATAATCCTCGCGCTCATTCTGTTTTTGATACGCTATTCAATACTATGACATAGCAATGGACCCCACACACGCAGTCATTTAAGTATAGCCACGGCGATACGCGTCGGTCAATAAGCAGAAAGTCTAGAGAAGGGAATAAAAGAGGGAATTAAATCATTAATTATTAATCAAACAAAAGGGAAAAGGGAGAAAAGCGGTCAGCGTGAAATATTAATAGAATAGAAAAAAAGGGTTTGCATTGGTGACGTGAGGACGTCGCCGATACAGCAAATAATAATAGAGACGTTAATAAGGTAGCCGTTGGCACTGGTTCAATCGTGACACCGACTCGCCACCCGAATGTCTGCCCGTTTTTTCTTTTGTCAAAACCTAATGAACCTTTCTTCACAAGCAACTCACTGTATTGGAAGACCCTAATCTCGCGAGACCAATTCTTAGAGAAGGAGCCGTTAAAAAAGACAACGAAAAGAAAGAAAATGGAAAATATTAATAAAGACCGAGATTAGACAAAAAGAGCCTGGGAAAAGTATGGCAGCTGGATAAACAAAATTTTCTGAATCATACCCTTTCTCAAGCAGACGGAAGTTAGCTGTTAACGGGGCACGTGCATGTACATTTCATCCTTTTCTCCATGAAGGACACTCGTTAATATTTTTCTTGAGAGGGTGGTGTTTGGTGAAATTGTGAATTACATGTACATAAAATAAAATAGCTCAGGCAATGGCGCATATCCATTCTGTTGAATGGGCATGCATTCAAGTTTGACGCAAAACAAAGAGAGAGCAAGAAAGTTACATCAGGATATTGTGTCTCCTTCACCTTTGACAAGAAGGAAACGAGGCAGTTGATTAATGGCCAGAACCATATTCATATTTCCACAGCCAAAATCCCCACTCCATAAATCAGTGTGCATTGGGCTTAGTTACACTTTGGGTTCAAGCTAGCAGGTAGCAATTAAATGCATAAAGGGAAAAAGGGTATCTGATCCTTATCTACACGAGCAAAACATATAATATGATGAAAATAAAGTTATTTGTGGGCGGCAGCATTTCGCGCACTGCGTATACTTATTGGTTACTTTACATCCATAATCATCCACCCCTTGTTCTTAAAGAAAGAGGACCGGTGATTGAGACTTGTTTACTTAATAATTTCATTTAAATTAAAGGAGTTGGAGGGTTGATCGCATCCTCGCTTTCTCAATCATGTACGCAATCGTCACTGTTATCGTTTACTTTACCAATAATGATCAACGTATTGAATTTATAAATGCTTTCTTTCAACTGAAAAATTCGTATTACGGTGAGTTGTTGAGGGACGCAATTTAATTTAGAAAAGCGAGTTCGTTTTCTTTTGCTTGGAGTGAAAGAGAGTGATGATGCGAAGGAGGACAAGTTGAAAAGGATCTGTATCGGAGAAGTGTCACTCAATTAACAATCAAGTTGAGTGCATGGGCTGGCTGTTCTCCCAGCAACGGATTTTAGGAATTGGCAGTTTAGTATTAATTTTATATCGAGACATTTGATCGACCAGAGATTGTTTCAGCGAAGAAAATGCACATCCCATGTGAAAGAACATGAAAAACTATAAATAAATACGAATTTGCTTAAAGGACATGCATGTAAGAGGGTTGGTAGAACATACATAACCTGCTCATTGAGTTGCTATTTTCTTACTCCTCCCTCCTTATCGTCTGATTTCACATCTTTTTTCCCATTAGCTACGTCTTACGTTGTTGGTCATTCATGTTTATTACATTTGAAATTGAAAAATTATGTCTGATAGATGCTGAACCGTTAAGCTTGTCGTTCTTTTTTTTCTTTTTTTTTCCAAATGCAAGTTAAGTTTGTCGTCCTAGTTGTCTTTTTCTCTTTCATATTTTTGGATAAATTGGCCTATTAGTCACAAAAAAATTGTATTAAAAAAATATGGACAAAGTTTTTAAAAATTTGAAATTGTGGTCATTTCACATTCATAAATAATGGGTTTATCATTGATATGAAAGAGATTTATTATTAAAAATTTATAAAAAATTTATTATTAATATACAACAATATATTATTAACATATATAATAAATTGGTTATAATATAAAATATAATAAATGTTGGTTGTCTAATTAGTTTGATCATATAACATGAATTATATTTACAAAAGTCTTTTTTTTGGATCAGGGGTGAGAGTTGTGCCACTATAGCCTATAGGACATGAAAAGGTTTTGCCAAATTTTTAATCCATTGTTCAAATATGGACAATTACACAGTATTTCCCATTTCCCATTTAGTTGTGACACTGTATGTTTGGATTTTTTAAAAAATTATTATTGAATGAAGTTTTAAACTAATTAATGATCAAATAGAGTTTCAAATATATTCTCCGATAATAAAATTTCTGAGCTTAAATGGAGTTTATGAAAAAAATGAGGTGTTTGAGTGATTTTTTCAAAAAACAGAATTTCAGGAACTATAACTAATTATGAAGAGGTTTCTAAACACATTTTAAGTAAGTCCTCATTTCATGCTATTCTCACGGTGAGACCTTTGCAGCCTAAATTTAATTTGAACACTCTAAACTTAAGTACTAAATTTAAAGTTTTTAATATGTAAAATTTTAATTATTAATTTTTTTTTAAAAAAATAGAGACAGTTAAAAAAATTGCCTTTATTTCATCTGAAATAAAATAATTTTAAAGTAAAATAAATTAAATCTGTACATTTTTAAATCAAATTATAAAATGGTTCCTGGAGGTAAGAGTGTATTTGATAATAATTGTTTATATTATTGATTTTGATGCCAATATTGACATTGATGTTAATCTGAATAATCGGTTACGGGTTAATGTCCGCTATAGAAATTGAAAAGGAAGGAAGAAGGGCCGTGTCCAAGTGCCGGGGGAGATTTTCGTAGCCCAATTTGTTTTAGCGGTTCAATCGTTTTGTGTTTTGAGTAGATTCGATGTACCAGAACATATAGAGAACTGGAATTTAGTTAAGGTTGGGGACCTGGCCGATCTTCTTCTTCTTTTTAATAAAAATGAAGAAAGCGAAGCAAAAATAACTTCATTATTTAAAAATTAAGCAGATCTGCTTGAGAATTAAGTGTGAGGGCATACTCATGAAATGAAAGGATCCATAGGAGAATGGAAATGGAATTTACCATCAAAACTGATAAATGGGTGGGCCATACTTATAAATTTAAGTTCAAAAACTCGATTATCGTAATTTTTAAATCTGACTCTTATTGTCAAATTTAAGGTCAAGTTTGTAAGCTCTCCTTTTATTTTTAACATTTTTTTAATTTTTAAAATATTTGTTTCATATTATAATGTTACATATTCTTTCTCTAAAACATAAAATATAATGTTAAAAATTTAAAATAAATAATATAGATTACAATTTTAAAATATAAACATATAGTCTAAAATTTAAATTTAATTTAAGAATTGAAAATATGTACTTTTTTAGGGATAAAATAAAAGAAGATCTAAATAGGCTATTCGAGCTCAAGCCAGTTTTTACATGATTGGGTTCAGAAGCCCAATTATATTAAAAATTCTTAATTTTTTGTCAAATTTGGCTTGTATTTCCAGCTCAATTTACTATGTCATGAAGATGAACGAATTTTGTGGAATCTGGCTGTGATGTGGATGGAATGGAAAAAGTTCGCCTTCATCAACCAAGAGCATGCATGCATGCCACTAAGTAATTCCATTTCTTGACGGAAGGTTTATATGCCAATAACTGCGAGGATTGGTTTGTTCATTTTATCCACGACATGGAAAGTACCTTACACTATGAGCGAGCCTCCTGTCGATGAACGCAGAAACTCGCTCCACCTTAACTACCTATTCTATCTTTTCTAGGCTCCTCTTCTTAAGTTTTTTAAGAAAAGAAGTCCCCTTCCGGTCAAACAAAAAAAAAAAACAAAAGAAAAGAAGTCCCCTAGGGGGAATTCCCCTTGAACGGCTTGTTATATGTACTTGCAAGAGAGTGTCATATCACTAAATCTCTCTCTCTCTCTCTCTCTCTCTCTCTCTCTCTCTCTCTCTCGGCGGTGGGTGTGTTGAAAAGGGAAGAAAATAGCTAGGCTGGGCCAAGTGCCAACTATTATGGGAAGCTGTGGCTAATGTTATTCGCGTTAGGCCCTCCCAAAGCCTCAGATAAATTCATAAATCATGGCCTTCAGATTATTTTAGCCAACCATAATATTACGGAAAGAATAGCAATATTACAGGCCATGTCACGCAAGTAGCAGCAAAGCTAGCTAAGTGAGCAACAATTTGTCTCACCAAAATTAAAGAGGAAAAAAAAAAAGATAAGTTGCCAACATACTAACCCGGTGACTGCTAATTATTTAGCAATTAGTCGCTTCATGCGTTGGCTTCAACATGTTTTGTCGTCGTCCTTATTCCTTAACAATTTAGTTCCAAGATGCTCAGATCTCGTGATTTCATCAACCACGCCGTTGATGTCCATAACGAAGATCACCTTAAATCACCAAATGGGACTTTGAAGGGATCAGATCTCTTCAATCTGTTCATCACCATCAAACTAATCCCCGCTATAATCCTCAAGCAAAACTCGATTAACTGAAACTTTGAAGTCCAACACTGGAGGCACCAGGAAAAAAGGGGCTCTCTTTGCTCTGTTGTGGGCTTCATGCGAAGAGAAAAATGAGAGAAAATAACGGACGAAGGACAATACAGAAAGGAAGAAAGAAGAAAAATCCAAAATGTCGCAGACAGAAACTGCGGCAAAGTATTGGATTAAAGGGACCAAAGATATCGTTTTTCAAGGCGTGCGTGATTCAAATGGTGACTAGCGGAACTCATATTACTGCGTTAGGAGCAGAAGAGACAAGACTCCCGTTAAACTAGAATGAAATTACAAAGGGGGAAGGGGAAGGGAGGTTATTTACAAATCTTGAAGAAGAATGTACGGCAAGCACGAGATCAACATTCGATTTGTTCCTAAAGTTTGAGGTCGAGGCATCAACAGTGATTGAGCGAGTGAGGGAGCTGAAGAATTTCGGTATTGCAGCTAAATTTAAAAGAGAAAGAAAAGGGGCCAGACGCATCGATCGTACAAAAGGCAAATAAAGGAAGTCAGTTTCTGAGTTCTGAGGCCACACAAGATCCGAGGAGGCGGCGGCGTCATATATAGCTCGAAAGCTGAAAGCAGTGAAGATGTTTCAACTTTTGGGAGAGCAGGCGGCGAGAACAGAGGAGATTCTGGGGGCGTCGCCAGGCACCAAGTGAGCCTGCCTCAGCATCAACGACTTGTACATCTGAATGATCATCTTCTCGTCGTACTCCTTCAGAGGTCCCCTCCCGAAGCCCAAGGCGGGCGTTCCTCCGCCGAAGCCCACCACCGGGCAGCCCATGTTGAAGCTCATGGCTCGCGAGTTGGCCACTCTCATCATCATTCTCACGTAGGCGTCCCTCAGCCACAGCAGCATCTTCTTGGGCGACGGGATCCTCGTGAATCGGATCCTGGGGGCCATTTTGATCCTCCAGAAGCGCCTCCTCCGGCCGCTCCCGAGCTTCACCCTGCAAGTCCTCCTCCTCCTCCGACCCGACCCATTTAATCTCTGGTATCCTCTCCTCTTCCAGTACTCCTTCAATCCCTTCAAGACGCTCACCGAAACGCCTTCCATCCCCTCGTTTTCTTGTTGCAGGGAGAAAGAGGACGGGAAGCAGCAGAAAAAAACGGTTTAGGGTGGGTGAGGGAGTGAAGAGGGCAGATAATCAACTTAAACAATGCACTGACACGTCCACCTATATATTCCCCCGCTTTTTCTTATTCACGTCGCTATTATTATGTCAATATTGAATAGAGCAGATGATCACGAATCCACCGTTCTTATATTCACATCCAACATATATTTAAAATATATTTCGGCTGAAATCCGAATTATTTGGCCATATTAAAGTAGTAGATAATTTTCATGAAATATATTAAGTGGAAAATAAATAATGGTATAGAAAATGGGTGAGGATATTTAATGAGAGGGGAGGTGGCATGTGCCCTGTTCGTGTCCCAACTCCCAAGATTAGTTGGATTAGCATCTTGTCATGATTTTGGGGCGCTAATTTTATCAATTCGGATCGTAATCTGGTTGAGGCCAATGGGGCAGAGGAGTCCAAATCAAGAACCCCCACAGAACATTATACCAGTACAATACATTCTCTTATTATACCAAAAACAAATTAAATATACTAAACATTAGCTGCCGCATCTCGTTATGTTATACCTATCCTTCCTCTGTCTTTTTATACAATAATTATCATTTTCAAATTGATTCAACGGCTGGGCTCCAAATCTGAGCATATATATATAGAAAACATATACGGTCCTATCGTCAAGTAATCGCTGTTGTGTGATATTTGAAACAATAAGCACAATGTCTGCGTTTGGTTGCGCGCCTATTTAGGAAGGCCAGCTTCATTTCCGATCTAAGATTCCCAATTAATTCCTTGATTAATGAACATCTTCCATGATTTGACGAACCCTGGCGTTGACAACCACCGCCCTCAGTTTCATTTACTGGACGGTGGGGAAGCCTCAACAGAATTTTGAGACGTAATTAATGTCCAGAAAGAACCAAGTAAAAGGTGAATTGTATTCCTAATCTTAACTTTGATTGTTTTGAGGGGAAAAAAATTTATTAGCCCGACTTCACATGAGTTCGGAGTAATTGGAATTTAGGGGATTCATAAGTATATTGTGACGGTGAGGTAGGTGAATATGTACGACTGAGAGACAATGAACGCCTTATTATCCATTAATTTGGTTTACAAAGTTATTCTTTTCATATCCGAGATAATGAAATACCTCCCTCCCCGACCCAACAAAATATACTATTGCGTTGATGCGTGCGTATTCTTTTCTTGGATGTAGGATGAGTATATTCAAAGTCAGGGTCTTGGCAGTGTCAGCCTGTTAGGTGTCGCGTCGTAATATTTGTTATTAGACATGCTTCCACTGGAATTATAATTATAATTTATAATACAGAAAAAGACTTGAAATTATTTCACGTTGAGCGTGACGGTGTTCTGGTCAAGGATCTGAGAAACCGTAGTCGATCTTCATCCATGGGACCATGGCAACGACTGTGAATGAGAGCATATGTAACATCTGATTCTGATGCTGTTCGCGAGAACAGGTCAATGAGCAGCAAATGCATAAACAATAAAAGATTGGCCCCCTTCGTATGTTAATTCGCCAAATGCCAATATGCGATTCTATTGATTTCATCGTCCTAAAAAGGGAGGGAGCGTACAGAGTACGTAGTGTAAAAGAACGACTAGCGAGCTGTGCTTGCAGGGTCAGGTTGCAATGATAAGTGAAACTAACAAGATCAACTGAATTCCAAAGACCAAGCTCAATCGTAACAAGTGTCTTACATGTCAACTAATTGAAAATGAACCTTCTGCATTAAATGGACAACCCACAACATGTGTACAGGTTCAATTTAACAGGAATGAAAGGCCAATCTGGGAATTTCGTGGTAGAGACATATAGCAATTGATCCCAATATTCACCGGTTTTGTTGCCAACTATCAACCCCATGAATTAATTACTGCTTACGGTTACTAATCACAATGAGAAACTGCGCAATGTATGCTTGTCAAATTACTTTCAACATTTTTTTGTTGAATTTGATTGGAAAAATTAATTTTTTAGTTCTTTAATTTTTAATTCACTTATAATTTAATCTCTTAACTATAATTTGATGCGATTCAATTTCTCGACTACGACTCACTGTGACTTAATCCCTGAACTTTTAACTCATTTATAACTCAATTTTGATTTTTTATTTTTTAATTATCCCTATCAAATAAAAGGGATAAAAAAAATACTCATATCTTACTCTAAAATACCCTCATCTTATTCTTAGATGCTGGATTTGAATTAGCATGAAAAAAGAGAGCTAACAAAAGCTGAGGGACTGAGGTTTAGATGAATCTAAAGTTGAGGGACTAAATTACAAACAGGTCAAAAGTTAAAAAACTAAGTTATAAAATTACAAACAGGTCAAAAGTTAAAGAACTGAGTTATAAGTGATCTAAAAGTTAAAGGACTAAAACACTATTTTTTAAAATTGAAAAAAATCTTAAAACTTATTAGTTTTATCTAAAGCTTTACTCATAATAAATATACATAATTTTTCTCAATCTTGCCAACATTTAATGTGACAAAAAGAAAAACTTATGATAAAAATTAAATAGCATAATTTATAAATATGATTAAACAATTATTTCCTCTTCATGTCTTATAAATAGGATTCCAGGAAATATGTTTTCTTTACAAAAATGTGCCGACTCGATGCCGACTCAATGCTTGTTTTGCCCTTATTAAATTTCAAGTTTGCAATGCATTCCTTGTCTCATGGGGCAGAACAACTGAAGTAGATATTTAACCAGACCAGTATTTATTTAAGGATTTACCTTCCGAGCTGTGTTTCTTCCATAGTACCATGCAACATGGCTTCATTGAATCCTGTTTGTGTAGCAGGTAAGCTTTCATAAATATTGTTTAGTTTAACTGTTTGAAATGGTTCTTGGGGATGGAATTAAATAAGCGGCAAATCAGAAAGAAGAGTGCCCAGCATTAATAAGAGCAAGTCAGCAACCTTCATTATGGTCAATTACGAGAAACAGGAGACCAGAAGATATGAGGGCTTATTTAGTAAACTGTTTTAACTTTTAAGAATAGTATTTTATTTTGCAGAACCAAAAAAAAAGTAAAAACATCTGTTTAATAATGTGTTTTTAAAAATTATTTTAAAGAACAATAAAATTAGATATTATTTTAAAGAATAAAAAATGAAAACATATTTTAAATATTATAGGATTATTATTCTGAAAAACAAAAAGAAAAATAAAAAACACACGTTTTTCATCTCTTTTTTTTTGCTTTTGAAAACATGTTCAATAAAATATCAATTCTCAAAATAATGGAACAAAAATAATTTTAAACAAGCCCTTGAAGTTTTATAATTTTTTTTTCAAAAAAAAAAAAAACAGCAATGAATGCAAGGGGGGTTCTCCGCTTCTCTGTACTGATAAATTATAACAGAATTTGGGTCAACCTTATGCTGGAGCGGCCCACATCGCGTTAGTGAGTTCAAAGCTTACAAATGAATACGTTTGGGTAACTTATCCCCAGAAAACAAAAAAAAAAAAAAAACCCCAAGAAGACCTGTGCATAATTGAGTCAACCCAGGAGAAATAGAAGACGTCATCGAAGATCAACATAAGTTTACTACAGTCCGATCGATCAAATTCTTACTTGTCATATTCCATTAATCGGAAACACAGATCAGACTCGCGGGCGAACTATCTAGTTAAATTAACAGACTGGAAAATGTCACAACGGGACAAGCAATGAATTAGATACAACTACTATGAATCTGTGGTCGTCACTAGCCAACAATCGACCCGCACACAATGACATTACACTATATCTAATAGCATCGATATATATACTACTACAGGGAACCAAATCAAAGAAAATCTAGAGCACAACAGCGTTGCAGGATATTTAATTAGCACACTAGGCATTTGAAAATCAGTAGTGGGGCTGAAGTTACTGAACCGACCTATTTCCTAACCTTCTTCGCAGGTCTAGAAGGTTTGATGGGTATGGAAGCAGTCTTCCCCTTCAGAGGGGTAACTTTGGTCTTCTTCTTCTTCATTGCTTCGGGAGTCTTAACCTGACTTAGACGCTTCACTTTCCCGTCTTTCCCAGCCGACGAGACCATCGACTTCTTCTTAGCATCCCTGTGGGCCTTCTTGAGAGCCTCCGGCGTCTTGGCGTGACTCAGCCTCTTGGTCTTCAGCCCCTTCTCTGCGATCTTCTTGGCAGCCTTCTGCGCAGGCGTCGCACCCTTCTTGCTTGGTTTGGCAGTCTTGGTTTTCTCCGAGGAGGAGATCTTGAAGGAATTCTTCACCTTGAACAGCCTCTCCGATTTGACAAACTTCTTGAGTTGAACAGAGAGCAGGGTCCTGAAATTTGGGGGCAGCAGTGGACTGTGTTTGTCCTCGATGAACTTGGTGATTGCTTGCTGACTGGAACCCGTGCGGTCGTTCAATGTAGAAATGGCGTCCGCGATCATCTGCAAAAGAAACGAGAAACAGCGCCGGCTATTAGCAGAGAGAAGATCGTAAAGAATGTTAGCGACGAGGAAGGAAAGAAGAGACAACATGGAAATAGGGAGGGTGGTGAACGGCGGAGGTGAATTTCTCCTTAGCATTGGCTTTGGCCATGTTGGAGGATGAGCGCAAAAAATGGAAGATAACTGAAAAGTTGGTCTGACGTCACAGGGGAAGGACGTTTCGGGAAGAATGGGCAGGGGATGCATAGTAACAAAGAGAGCGTTTTGAATTTCAATTTTTTATTAATGGGTTTTGGCGGTATAACTTTTTGGCATACGTGGATAGTCTTCCTTTTCATTAGATTTTTACTCCCATGAAAAATGTAAATGTGAATTAAATTGTAAGCACTTACTCCCTTATTTCCTTTTTATTGTTAGACATGAATTTTTTTATTAGAAGTAACTTACTTGAGATTTAGTTGGATATTCAATAGAGACATATTTTTTAGTAGAGATTAACCTTTTTTATTATATCTAATCCTTATTAATTACTCCCTTCGATTTTATTCGTTATTCATGTTGTGAGAACTAATCATTTTTATTACATGTAGCTTTAATTGATTGCTCCTTCTGATTTTGTTTATAAAGTGGAGAGATAATATTTTTTTATCCTTATTTTATAAGTTATATCATTGTATTTCTATCACAATTTTTTTATTTTACTCTCTATTAAATATTAGTGAAAGAAAATATGTTATTAAAATGTGTGTATTCAATGGAAATAAAGTTGAAAAATTATTAATTTTTTGAGTTTTAAGATTTTATTGATTGTGATAAAACATGTGAGAAATGCTCTATGAAAGGGATCATAGAAATATATAAACTACTGCAACCCCTCTAATCTCCATGCTACTTAATTATATATACCATCACAAGTTCAATGCCTTTCATGTTTTTAATTTTTTTTTTTGGTCGTTAGCAAGCCTGCGCATCTTTATCCATTGTGTATATGACATAAGACTACCAAGAAGCCGTATAAATATAAACAATGCAACTCACTCAAGGCCCCACCATTCAGTCTCGATTGATGATGTTACATTCTCACAAGTTGGTTGTAAATTTATCCGGTTGAATTTCATGTTTTTTTATTTCATGCTTTAATATTAAATGACAGATAAACATGTTTCTATAAATTTTATTTTAATTTTCAGATTACGATCCGAATTGATAAAATTAGCGCCCTCGGGCCCATGCAATTCACTGTCAATCACTCAATTGACACTGGACGCGAAATGTGAATTAGAGTTGAGAAAACAGACCGAACCCGTCCGACTAACCCGTATAACAGTAGGACCGGACTTAAAAATATAAATCCAAAATGATAAATCAGGCCCGTTCAAGCCCGTTTAATCTAGAACTTAAACGGGCTGACCTTGCAGGGTTCGAGGGCCAGCTCGTTTTAAGCCTGCATATATATTTTTTTAATTAATTCTCATAATTTTTACTCTTTTTAGATTTGAAAAAAAAATTAAACTAAATCTCACTCCACATCACATATCAGCCCACATCTACTGAGGATGAAAGGCAACAAAAAAAGGAAAAATAACAATGGAGAATCATTGATAAAAAATTATATCAGTCAAGGATCACTTGTTGTCAAAATTCGAGTGGATACTTGTGAATTCGGGTTAGCCTTTATCAATAAGTATTTATTTAGGTTTTAATAACAACTCATTTTAAATTAATAATAGTTCATTGTAGTTTGTTTTTCATTCAGATTTTGACAACAACTGATTCTTAATTAATATAAATTTCATACAGAAATCCTTGGCTGCTATTTTCTTAAAAAAATATAATTTTAAATCTCTTAATTCATCTAGATCCACGATAATGATTCATTCAATTTAACACTTACTCTTCTTTCTTCAATATGCCTCTCTATTTTTTGCCGCTACAAGTTGTCTTTGCTCTTCAGCAAGTCATCACATCGTCGTCCCCGTCCCTATCATCATAACCCACAAGTCATCCTTGCTCCTATTTTTGCTCACTCTTTAGTTGTCCCTGTTGCTCACTCCGATAATGCTTCCTCCTAAGAACCAAATCTCAACAGTGCTTAACTAGTTAACGTTCATTGTCATTGATCTTCCAAGTCCTCCTATCACTTATCATGCTTATGCATTTGTGACTCATAAGTTAAGTTCCATCTAATACACATATACTACAACAGAATAAGCTAAATATGACGGATTATATTTGACGGTTATAAGTGAAAAACGACAAATAAAAAAGGCGCTAAATACTTGACAGTTGTTTTAAAAAAACCGTCAAGTATTTAGTATATGTTTGACGATTATATTGGCATAACCGTCAAATATATATGCATCCCAGATTTAATTTTTTTATAAATATATTTGACGCTTTTTTCCAAATAACCGTCAAGTATTTTGGAATACTTGACGGTTATTTGTAAAAAAGCGTCAAATATATGGTTCAAAAGGAAAAATAAAAAAATTAATTACTTGACGCTTGTTTATTAATAACCATCAAGTATGTCTGCATTTAATTTGACGGTTGTTTCATAACAAGCGTCAAGTAATAAATAATTGACGGTTATTACGAAATAACCGTCAAGTATTGTCTTTTTTATGGTTATTTGTAAAAAAGCGTCAAATATATAGTTCAAAAGAAAAAATAAAAAAATTAATTACTTGACGCTTGTTTACTAATAACCGTCAACTATGTCTGAATTTTATTTGACGGTTATTTAATAACAAGCGTCAAGTAATGAATACTTGACGGTTATTATGAAATACCCGTCAAGTATTGCCTTTTAAATTTACACTTCACAACCTTTCATTTTCACATTTCTGCAGCTTGAACATTTTTGAAAACATATCCAAAGTGCTCGAAAATCATTTTCCGTCACTAAAACTGCCCAAAAACACAGATTTAGACTCAATTCTTCTTGGGTTTTGCTTGTGGGTTTTATTTTTTGGGGTTTGTGGGTTGTTCATTCATCCAAATCTTCATTTCAGGCGTTTTGGGTTCGTTTTCCGTCTTCCATATGTAAGTTTAATTTTTTCTTTATCTATTTAATTCGTTTTTAGGTTTAGTGTTTAGGGCAAATCTAACTTCAAATTCCCCTACTTGCTTTTCAACAGTGCAAAACGCGAGTTGTCTTCTTTCCTCCTTCCCCTGCTCTTCTTCTTCGTCCTCGTGCTCTGCCTCTCTTAAGTAAGTTGGCCTATCTTTCTTCCTTGTGATATTGTTGTCAATTGATTATAATTAGGGAGTTGATTGGAATTAGAAATTGGAATATGAATTTTTTGTTCATTATAACTACAATTTATGATTGAATGTATATATGCTTTTGTTTTCAGTTCTTTGTTAGTTCTGAAATTAAATTTAAGATTATATAAAAATTAATTTACTGTTGGGCATTATATGAATTTGTTGAAAATTTGCTTCCCTTGTTGTGGTGATGATGATTAATTCTGTTATTGGATAACTTGATTAGAAATGATTGAGTTATATTGAATTTATAGGACAAAATAGATTATTGGGATAAAATTTTTATATCAATTGTTGCTGGATAACTTGATTAAGTATAATTAAATTATATGAGTTTCTTGTAGGACATTATCACCCATGCCCCTATCACATTACCTAACAAGGTATATATTAAATTTAATGATACTTAAATTATAAATTTTAACAACTTTTGTTATACAGCTATTAACTTGAATTTGTTGTAACTCTTTACATACAGTACTTTGAGGATGCCTACTGTATTCAGTATGCAGCTGCACATATAGAGGAAACCCTTGAAGAGGTAGCTCATGTCGTGTTTAACATGTGGATAGCAGCAGTGGCTATGCCTAATTAATTTTGGTATACACATTTATTTTTTTAGTTAATTTTATGTCTGAGGCCAATTAATTTTAAAATTTAGACTTGTAAAGTAGGTAAAGTTATAGATTTTTTTATGGCATCGGGTTTAGAGTATAAATAGATATAAGATAAATTAAAGATATTTAGATTGTAATTTTAATATAAATAATAATTCAATTATTTTTTATTGTTGGCTGGCTAGTATATATATTTGATTGCTTTGTATTTGCAAGGGGGCTGCTTTCCAACTTTTAAAAAAACCCATCATAAATACTTGACGGTTATTTAGAAAGAAACGTCAAATATAAGTTTAAATAACCGTCAAGTATGTATGAATACTTGACGGTTATTTCGAAATAATCGTCAAGTATTTGGCACACAAAATTTACAAAAACATATTTGACGCTTGTTATAAAATAACTGTCAAATATTACTAAATACTTGACGGTTATTTTAAATAACTGTCAAGTATATTGCTACAGTATATGCAAATGTTTAAGTGATTACTTGACGGTTATTTTAAAATAACCGTCAAGTAATCTCTAAAATATTTGACGGATATATGACGCCTCATTACTTGACGGTTAAAAACTGTCAAATAATTTCTAAAATAACCGTCAAGTAAGAGGGTATTTTGTAATAGTGATATTGTGCTCGTGCTCTTTGTTTTCCTCGATCTCCTAGTCCTATATCTTAGTCCTTCAAGGCTCAATCTCGTCTAATTTTGATTGGGTATTTGTCGGTTTAGCCAATCCATTGCTTTTTGTATTGCTATTATTTTATTTGTGTTTTTAATTCATTTAGATGTTATTTAGTTAGTTTTTTTTCTATCTTTCTTGATTGGATATTATATTAAAATGAAGTAATTTTTTGTTTGATTAAAAAAATTAAAAAAATAAAAATAGTTAAAAGAGCCAAAAGCCCATAGGGCCAACCCTGAGCCTGCTATGTTAAAGGTCAGGTTTCGTATATCAAGATTTTTAAGAAAACTTGGGTTTAAAAAGGTTGGCCCTTTTAGGCTGGAGCCCTTCAAAGGCCGGCCTTACAGGGCCGGACTGACTCCCTTTTTCCCAACTCCAGAAAATATATATATATAGACACACACGTATGTGCACATACGAACATACGCACACGTATGAGTTATTGTGGAAAGCTTGAGAGTTCTGAATCATAAATCTTATACTTTATAATTTAATTTTCATAAAAAGAAATTAAACATTAAAGGCTGTCAAGTTTTATCTGTTTTTTCCTGGCCTTTCACAGTGCACTGTGAATTTATTATTATTATATTATACTTAGACTTGGAACTGTGTGTATTTTTTTTCAACTTATGTCTCCACAATTTTGCATGAACGAGGCTTAATACATGTGAAATGGTAACATTAGGATTTAGGAGTCCTTGAAACGCCTGCGAAAAGGTCACAGAGAACATGCTTGCTCATATTTATCTATCTTCCCAGGCCAGCACGAATCATACTTACCCTCGTTAGAGGTCTTTAGACGTGTTTGGGTGATTTTTTTATTATATTTTAGGAAAGCTAAGAAATACAATGATTAACTTTAATTAATTCCTGGTATAAATATTAATTCTAAGATTCATAAAACGTTCTCTCTCTCTTTTTGACACAAAGTTCATGTCAATTGAGTTTACAGAGGTGACAGTTCAAGCCAAACTTAAATAAATATAAAAAATGTTATAATGAGACTTGAGAGTTTAAAAAGCTTTTTTTATTTTGAGTGTTGGGTTATCTACTCTTAAAAAATTAGGCTAATATATGAGCCTAATTAAGAAATAGAGTTTTATTACAATTATAAGAAATGCTTGAGTTCAATATACAATTTTTTCAAGTCCTCAAACATAATTTTCTTCCTTTTTAGTTTAAATTTTTGAATTAGAGAGGGAAAGGTTAGATACCCGCACGTTCCCATTTCGTGTTTTCATAGAGACTGCCTATTAGTGGATAGATCTCTCAGTTTTGTATTACAAACAGAAGCTTGGAACTTGTTCTCTTATTTTCTTCTATTCTCTTCTTCTTTGCGTGTTATTTGTTGTGAGTATCAAGAACCTAGTTCAGTTTCATAACTTCATTTCCATGTATGATATTCATCTGGCACATCATATAAATTATAAGGTTAGTTTTCTCCTCCAAATACTTATATTGAACTTATTCGAATCATCTGAATAAACTTAAAGAAATTCGAGTCAAACCCAAATCCGAATAAAGGTAGCTTAAATGTCCAAATTTATATTTTATTATTAATAAAGTAATATTAAAATAAAATAAAATTTAAAAATAATTTTTAAAAAATAAAAATTGAATTACATTAATAATAACAATAAAATAAAATAGATATTTAATAATTCAAGTATTTGTGCAAACCCAAAAGCTTAAAAATTTGTAGTTGGGATTGACCATGTAAGTTTTTTAATATGTTTAAATATTTTAAATTTGATTTGAATAAGCTTTCCGTGATCCAATCACTGGCGAGATTACTGGAAAGGGGTGCATAGATGAGTATAATGAATTTTGACTTCTAGATGTATTTTCTCTTGTGTAATTGTATGTTCTCGTCCTTGAAGTGGGGTGGGAGTATGATAAATGGAGGGGACGAACGAAAGGTATCCATGTTGACATAATTTAAAAATGCGTGAATAAAGTCGAAGAAGCCGAGTAAAAGCCAATTGGCCATCCCTTGCCACAAAAAGGCCTTTTCGTCGGAATCTCTCTTTGATCGGCCATTCTTCACTCGCACGCTCTACTACACGCACCCTCTAACCAGAAACAAATAATTAAGTAAATCCAAATCACTCAAAATCAGACGCGTAATGATGGCAAGGCCGAGGGCGAGAACTTGTGCGTTATTTCATATTTGCTATAAAGAATCCCCCTATCCCTTTTGTCCAGACAACGCTTGATCTATCCTCAATCCTCATGGATCATCTGTCCTCCACTTGCTACTCACCTTCAAGAATCCTGCTTTATCTCCCACGCCACAGAGAACAAAGCTATCTATTCTCTCCCCTCTCGGGCATTTAATTAATTCTCCACTTCACCTTCCAGCACGTCCTCTCATACTTTGCAACCGAATAATAACAATAACAACAACAGTAATAATGGCAATGCCAAACGGCCAGTCGAATAGTTAAACACCTGAACAAAACAACATTATTTTCTTCCAACACGAAATCATCAATGACATAATAAATGGCACAAATAAGCAAACAGTCAACAGAGTGCTACGAATTAAACAGCCAAAGGCACAGATTGTGTGCCTCTGTCATCCACTACTATGCGTGGACCTTAATTATTTTGGACTACCATAAGCTACCACCGTCGATCGCTTCTTCCTTTTTTATTTCGGTTATTGCGAGTGTCTGACAATGAAATCCACTTAGACAGAAAGAATATCACATTAATTAAGAATGCACCTAAATGACCAAGTGATAATATAGAAGGAAGAGAGAGGCCGCCGCGATCAACGACTGCAATGAGAGCCCGAATGCTGCAAAAACCTTCACCTTTCCGGCGCTGCTCTCCTCTGGTTGGTATATTGGGAATGCTATTCCGGGCGTGCAATTAGGTCCTTCCGGACACGGCAGTGGCTGTGGCCTGCAATCAGGTCCTCCCGGACATGGTGGTCGCGGCGGCGGCCGTGGACGTGGTTCACATGGACCTGGAGTACATGACGGAGCCGGAGGGGGTGGGCATTCAACGACAGCTGGAGGGGGCGGTGGCGGAGGCAATGGTGGAGAGGGCGGAGGTGGGCACTCGACAACGGGAGGTGGTGGAGGCGGCGGGCATTCAATCACCGGTGGAGGCGGTGGAGGGGGTTGGCAGGGATTTTCACACTCGGTGCACATGGTGCAGGATACTTGATCTTTAGCGACGGCGGAGACGGATGAAACAGTAGCTGCGGAGGAGGTGGACGAGAACAAGAGCACGGAGAGAGCGAGGATGAAGACGAAAGCCATTGAATTGGGCATAGTTTCAGAGTCGGAGGCGGAGAAGAGAATCAAACCGAAAGGAACGATGACAGAAGAAGACGAGAGGGTTCGGGGCTATGGGAGAAGGAGAGTGAAAAATGAAATCACATGGACTCACGAAGCATGTGTATTGGTGACCGCATCATTTGTCGGTGATTTATCTTCCACGGGATAATCCAAAATCATCAAATCCATCAACTCTAGCCATCAACACTCAATTTCATCTTTATTTTATCAACTTACAGCATTGCCATATCTTCATTTCCCGGGGCTGTTTTCTTTTCCCCTTTCATGGGCCTGATATTCCCTGTGTGCTTACACTTTAAGCAACTTATATTTCTTTTAAATTTTAGTTTCTTCCATAGTTAGGTAAGTGCTCTCGCCTCACAATAAGTAAACAGCGGGCTAATTAATCTGTGACGAAGCAAGATACCAGTTAATTAATTAATTTTAGCATAAACTAAGCTGGAAATATTTAAATAACCTAACACTCGAATTTATCTAAACACCCATCAGCGCAGACCGAAAAGTGAGCGTCAGAGTAGGCAAAAGTTGAGCTACGGTAAGCCCAGAGTTATTCGAAGACTTGTACCTGACGCAACAAAATGCAGTTGAAAAGGAAAGCAGTGATCCAGACGAAATTAAAAATGATTAAAGCAGCTAAAATACAGACGTGCATTCACTGCTTATGAACAGCTCATTTACTATATGCTCCTTGTATTTTCTTTATAAGTGATATATACCAACCTTGTTAATAATAATACAAAAAAAATGAATGAAGAATAGAAGTATACAACATCATAAATATACTCTTATATAATAAATTTAAAAAATAATATTATATTTTTTTATTCATGAAAGATAATTTTAGAAATACAGTTTAAATATTATTTAAAAAATTAAACTATAATTTATAAATAAAATTAAATAGACTTTTTTAAAATAGGTGTTGTAAATGAGATCCGAAGGAGTCATGTTCATAGACACTTAGACACGTTGACTGATGATGATACAAATGCCATTTTCATCATGAGAAGGCGCAATAACAAGCACAGTATCATCCACGGAGGCATGTGATGCTGACTGCATAGTAGCAGGAGTTAGATCCGAAGTAAACACAACTAATGAGATGAAATTTTTCATATTTCACAGTTCCAACCCCAGACTGCAGTCAATATATTTTTCTCCTCCATTTTCGTATAAATGTATTTCTCTGGTTTCAATATATTATACGAAATTTGTTAACATAATTTTGCTATCCTACGTGGTTATTAAAATATAATCAAAAATAAAAAAATTCAATTAATTATCAAATCCAAAATCATTAAATGATCATTTTTCATTTTGTTAGGTATTATTTATAGACCTTTGAAGACACCCTAGCTCAGCAGACAGCATAATCATACTAGTATTTATTTAGTATTGACAAGCGGTCTTTGAGAGCAATGCAATTGTACAAAATATTTCCTCGTAAGAAATTGCATAATAAATGAAATAGTTCCTGATGAAGTAACAGGACAAATATATACTTATATACGATTTTACAGTTTATCACCGTAATAAAGTTTAATTATAAATATAATTTGAACTTTCTGTCCTAATGCAGGGGATACATGAATGTTTTTCTCTGTGATCAATCTTAAGAGCCAGAAACCCGGGAAAACGAAGGACCCCAGAAGCATCAAGAAAAACGGACGGTTCAATTTGCCTGGAAATGGAGTGAATGTAATTGATCCAACTATCCAAGGGTTGAGACGGGCAGCAGATAGGAAGAGGAGCAGGGCGTGTGAAGATGTTTTGAGCCTGAGCAAAATTATTGGTAAAGCCTAACATGTGTAATTATCTATAAAAAAAAATGTAGTCTTCAGTTTTTTTACAAAATTATGCATTAAAATTTTATAATATAGTGATTCTAATAAAATATTATATTAATTTGATGGTTAAATGAAAGTCAGTGTTGACAAAGTATTCCTACCCTAGCTCATACATTGAGATAAAATATTAACACTAATATGAGGTAGCAATACATTTTTAACAAAAAAAGATGTAATTAAGACTAATAATATCAGTGATTGATGTAAAAAATTAATAATAATTATATGAATTATAAACAAGATTTTAATAAGGCTTAAAGGTGTCATAGTTTAAAACTACACAACGTCTTAATATTAATATTTGAAAAGAAGAAAATAAAAAGTGACATCATAAGAGAAATTTAAAGCAAGTTAATGCAATGCAAATTAGTATATTATGGATCTTATATTCTTTTATTATGTAGATAATGAACACACATCAATAATTAATGTTATGTTGGGAAAAATTGAATTTTTTTAAAAGAATGAATAATTAATACTTTTTATTCTCTTTCATCTATAATTAAATATATAATAATATAAATATTAATAATACACATATAATAGGAGAATTAATAATTTTTATTTCTTGGAGGGCCAAGGCAATTGCCTCACTTTGCCTCATGGCTTACACGGCCTGAAGAGGAGAGAGAAATAAATGAAGAGATGTCAGGGACTTTTCTTCAAGTGCTGTAATTGCAACGGAGCCGCAAGGAAGAGCCACCGATGACATGGCTGCTAGCTCTTTTCCTGTACGCGCATGTTTATTTTCCTTCCAACCGTTATCTATCCACGCCAAGATTATCAGCATCTTGCTCGTTGCGCGCCTCTTCTTGCCCTTCTCTACTCTTTTTGCGTGTGCATATATCCTACCCTCCCCTTCTTCTCTGCGTGGCTATCCCTGTGCCTTTTCCCTTGTATATTTGCCACTCCATTAAATCCAATCATAAACTGTATGTCATGTACTGATGCTGAGTCCTTTTCATTTGAGTGCACTTGAGATTCCAGTTGGTCTATCCAGCTCCACGTGGAGCCCAAAATCATTCATTCAACATTTTGCTTCTTGCATTTCTCTGCCCCTCTTTTATCCATCCAAGCTAAGAGTAGCCTTTGCGCCTTTTCGCGTATCCCAGCCCACATGCGCCACCCTAGCCTCCTCCCTCCCTTAATTTGTGTAGCTTTTCTCTTGTTGAAGCTCCATTAAATGCAATCATCAACTGTGTCGAAAAAAGATATGCTGAGCTCTTTTCGTTTTAATGCGATCGAGGAGATCAGGAAACATGCATGATATTGAAGCGTCGGACATGATTTCTTAATCTCGGTGTTGTTGAGTACAGGAAAGGGCAGAAATACTAAAGGATTGAATGGCGTCAGCTGAAGCAAGGTGAGTTAACTGAACACAACACGGAAAAGAAGTAAGTTTTCTGCCCCTTGATTACCCTGTTTTCACGAGTTAGATGAACAGACGGGACTGGTGGATAAGTTTGAGGAATGCGAGCGAAAGAGATCTAGAAATAGACGACAGGCTTATTGAAGGGGCGCCGTGCTTCCAGTACGTTGACCATCGGCCAAATAAGTGCTACACTAACAGGGTTGAAGAAATGAAGAAGCAGTACGTTAAGCATCGACCGAATGCAGCGGCTGAACCTCTTTTTTCTTCTGTTTTTTTTTTCCTGGACAATTTTCTTCTGATCCTCGATTGACTTTTTTCCTCTAAAAAAGCATGTATAAATTTTAATTTTTTACGCTGAACTGATCTATCCATATATGTTTTAGTTATTGATGGATTTATATTTGAAATTTTACTTTTCAAATTTTACATGTATTTAAAATTTTTTTGCTTAAATAGTTTAAAAAAAATTGAATGATAAAGAGAAATGAACTCAAATTTAAAACAAAAATAAAAAAATAAAAATGATAATTTTATTTATTTTTAATTGATAAAAGATAAAAAAAGATAGAAGAGATATGAAAATAATAATAGTGAAAATATGAAAAGAATAATATATTTAAAATGATTAAAATGTAGAGAGGATTTGAAATTACAAAAAAATTATAATTTCAAATGGATTTAGATTTAAATTGAATGCTTATTACTCCAAACATGTCATTAAATTTTTTATAATCCTTAACTATTGGTTCAAATTAAAAAAAAAATAGGTAGGAAATAATATTAAAAAAATAAATTAGAAAGATAGAATCAAAGAATACTAAGTTTTAATTAAAATTGTCAATTAAGGCCGATCCAACTCTAAAGGGCCAAGGTCTAAACAAGCTAATCCTATTATGTCATATTATACTTTAAGACTTCATTTTGGTTAGTGTTAACTTCTAGAAGTTCATGTTATTTTATCACATTTTCCTTAGATTCTAATTCATTTTGGTTCAATTGTATATGTTTTTATTGCCCAAATTAGGAAAATATGCATTTTGTTTTGGGCTTGTGTTTTTTGCTTTAATTTGATATTTTTCGCCTAATTTCATGTTATTTTGATTAGAAGCATTTCTGGAGCTTTGTGGATGTTTTTGGAAGGCTTTTGGATGAAGAAATCAAGAGCAAAATGAATGATTTTTGTTAGCTGTAAAAACAATGCAAAACTGCCAAAGTCGTCTCAAAGTCGTGACTTTCGTTCGCGACTTTCACCGCTGTCAGAAAAACGCTGCGTTTCATTTATCAGAAATTAGTTGGCTAGGATACATATAAGCTGAGAGCTCGACTCAAAACGCATTCTTCAGACTTTTAGACACATTTGGAGCTTGGTTGTGCTAGGGTTTGGTCATTGGAAGAGTTGGGATCAAGAGATTGAAGCTTTGAAGACATTTGGAGCTCATTTTCTTCGGTTTTTCTATTCCTCTTCCCTTTCCTCTCTTGTAATCTGAAATGGGTCCACTTATTTTGTATATTTGTAGCTTGTGGATGATTATGAGTAGCTAAACCCTTTGTTCTAGAATTATTTGGAACCCTTGTATGGATTAACACCATATTTCTCCTCTCTTTTTGTGATTAATGATATATATGTGTTTATTTTACTCTTTCCTTAATACTTCTACTTGATTGGCCACCATTTAGATGTTGGGTTCACTTAATTGATGCTTGAGAGGGCTAGGTTGAGTGTAGAACTTGGGTAAAATTGTGTAAGAACTTGATATTTGCATGTTGAATGAATGGTTTTGCTAGTAAGATAGAGATATACTTGCTAACCTTGCATAGCCACATTAGGGTTGGTGTTTAAAATTAAGTTTTATTAATTGTAATAAGAGATTGGGCAATTAATTTAACCAAACACTTGTTCATGACTTGAGAGAGCTTGTCCAAGTATTTTTAGAACCCTAGGTTAGCACTTATTTTCATTAAAAACATTTATGAGAGGAGGTAATTTTGGTGTTATGAAATGCAAGGGGCACAATTAATCCTAGGTCCTAAATTGTGTTAGAAGTTTGTGAATCACT